CCCAATAGCCAACTTGAGAATACTCCCACTGGCCAAACATTTTCAGCATTAAAATAAATAATAACTATAAGAGATGAAAATACATCAAAAATATAAAAAGTCAATGGATTTATAATAAAAAATAAAATCTCTGGTCACCTTTGGACTTTGACAATACACCAACACATGATTTAGAAAATCACCGGGGTACAGCAAGTCCTGATGATGCACCTGCCCGCATCTTCTCAGCTGTTAGCTCAACAAGCCAAAGGCTGCTGACCTCTGAGGATTTTACTTTCTGATTGGAGAGGTATGCTTGGCCTCAGTGCAGGGCAAGTCAGAAGTCCCCGAGGACTAATGCCCCTGGAGACTGCCCTCAACCAGCGACGGAAGGTGAGTGGGTAGACCGCAACCCCGCCTTCCACCTGCCAGGCAGGAGCACTGCAAGGCAAGTTCTCCAACCTCCAGCTGTCCACAGTCATAACCTGTTCAATTTTTCGGATTACTTACTCAATTATTTATTGTACTCCTTTCCTTCCCAGTCTCACTTTCCAGATTTATTAAGATCTGGGAATTTTCAGACCCACGAAGTCATGAGCACACGAGAGTGGGCACGGAGCAATACAAAATGGCACACTCGTGACTGGGTATGAGTGTGTTCAGAGGGCACAAGTAAGCTCTGCCAGCAGGAAGCCCACCCCACAGTTCTGTGCGGCGTCTCTGTGGTCAGGCTCCAGAGAAGGAAAAAGCCGAGGCCTAGTTCATGAATAGGTCACTCCAATATGGTGACGTGAGCTAAACGTGGACTGCTGCCACACAGCAACCCCACTCAGGGTGCTCTTGAAAGACACTGGTGAGGGAGGACCCTCCCGGGAGTTTCAGGCAGTGCACTGACCACCTACTTTGCAGTGACAGAGGACTTACAGGAAGTATATGTGAACTTTTGAACAGTGGCAAATGATTTTGTTGGTTAATCAGGGGCCAGGAAGGGGTAAGACTGGAAGGCTGGAGGTAAGGAAGTCTGGGGCAGAGCTATATGGATGGACGTACAGCAGTGGGTCCTGTGTCTTGTAGCAGTGTCATTAAAGAACACTCACTACAGAGGAGTATTGAACAGCCGAGGGAACAGAAGGACCCCAGAGGATGACAGCCGGCCTTTATCCTCCGCTCTGCCAGGGCTTGTACAATGGGCCCATGAATGGAGTAGCTGTGGCAGTAGACGCGGAGACCAGGCAAGGGCTCACCAGCAAGGGGTCCTCTCACCAAGGCTGATCTAGCTACTGCTACTGCAAGACGTTTGGCCTGTCAGCAGCACAGACACTGAACCCACAATGGTGCTATCCTTCCAGGAGCCCAACCAGCCACTGGGCAGCATGTTGACTGTAACATACCTCATTCAGTCCAGAAGAGAGAGTAATATCTCCTCACTGGGATTAATATTCTGGATGTGGATTTGCTTTCCCTGCCCTTGGGCAGCACCAATATCCAGGGACATACAGAAAATGATTTCTCCTTATTAGATAATATATAGTATCATCGGTAGCTTAGGAGATCCACTTTACAGTGAAGGAAATGTGACAATGGACATAGGACCACAGTCTCCCCTGGCCCTATGATACATTGCATCACCTTGAAATTGCCAGCCTGACAGTCCCTTACTATGGTTTCTTTATAGTACATCTAAATACCAGATTGTGGAAGCATCCCCTGCGGCTGGGCTACTGGTCTTTGGAATACAGTATATGTTTTGAACCTATGGTCATTGTATGGTGCTATATCCCAGACAGCTAGAAATCATGGGTCAGGGACGAGGGTGTGGAAGTAGAATACCCATCTCACAATCAGTCCCCATGATCCACTTGGGGAATTTGTGCTTCCTGTTCCTATACATCGAGTCTCTAAAGGATCAGAAGCCCTAGTTCCTGGGTTGGGAGCTGTGTCTACCAGAAGTCACAGTAAGGGGGCCACTAAGCCTAAGGCAACAGCAGCCTCTGGGCCATTTGGGGTGCCTTATGCCAATCGACCAGCAGACAAAGAAAAGAATTATATCAATACTGGCAAAGACATTTGATCATGATTACCCCATGTCTAATGGTAATCATGAACAGGCAGTTGCAGCGATGTTGGCTTACCATGGGCATGGTAATGGAAGGCTGAAGCCTTCAAGGATGAAGGACTGGGTTTTGCACTGTGAAAACCCCAGAGACCAACAAAATGAATTGTAGAGGAGGGAGCTGTTGAATATTGATTACAGCTTTCGAACCAACTGCATCAACAGTCACTGTAGTTTGCCCCACTAGCCCTCCTATTGTAAGACTTTTTTTTTAAGAATTAGAAATTGCAATCAGCCACCACGTTGAAGAATCAGTGACAGGACAAAGTGAGTTTAACATGGGGCCACAAATGGATGTGAGCCCTGCAAAGGGTGGACTGTAGCTGTGGCCTATATCCTTCAGCATTCACCTCCACAGGAAGCCCTTCATGGACATCTGTGACTCTGCCTGAGAGCTTTTTTTTTCTTGGCTGTGGGAGCATGTTTGAGCCCAGGGCTAGCAAGGAATACCAGAGGGTTAATGCTTCCAGAAGCAGCCTTCAACCTTCTACGAGCAAGGTGACCAATAATACCCAAGGTTCTTTGCGCCTCAGGTGGGATTCTCAGAGACAGGTTCTACACTGTTTTCCAGAATACCCCAGAAAAAATGAGCCCCAGGTGCTCCGGCTGCTCTGTTACAAAGCTTTCATTGACTTCCTGCCCTTTTCCTGTCTCACGTCTCCACTCCTCTCCCAGTGCCTCTCAGCCTGACCTTATACTCAATGTTTTATACTCAAACTACTTGTACTCCAAGTCTTGATTCAACATGTGCTTTTGGGGAACCCTGTTGTCCTAGTCAGTTCGGGCTGCTACAATAAATGACCACAGATGGGGTGGCTTAAATAACAGGCATTTATTTCTCACAGTTCTGGAGGCCAGCAGATCCGGTGTCTGGCGAGGGCGCGCTTCCTGGCCGGCAGAGGGCGCGCTTCTCACCTGATGGAGAACAGAGGGAAGAAGCAAGCTCTTCCTAGTCTCTTACCAGGTCACTCAGTCCCATCACGAGGGTTCCACCTTCAGGACCTGGTTACCTCCCAAAGGCGCCATCGCCATCTCCGCACACCACAGCTTTGGGGATTAGGGTTTTAACATATGAATTTGGGGCAGGGGGAACACAACATATAGTCCATAGCACCAATCTAAGAAAAATGGAAGAGAATCGAGCATTAAGTCTACATTTCCTGAATGGGTTATATGTCAGGGTAACAGTTTATGGGGAAATTTTTTCCTTACAGATTATATACTACAGCTAATAAATGAGGGAAGAAGACAAAGAAATCTCCATTTTGCACTCCTAATGAAATAATAGCTCTAAGCAATAATCAGCAATAACCCTTACATAAACAGTTAATGTGTGTAGTGAGTTGAATAGGGGCCACAAAAAGATATGTTCACATCTAAATCCCTGAAACCTGTAAATGTTAGTTTGTTTAGGAAAAGGGTCTTTGTGGATGTAATTCACTACATGAATTCATTCCCTAAACTCAACTGATGGTTTTGAAATGAGATTACACTGGTTTAGCCAGGTGGAGCGACTCCAACGACAGGGCTTCTTACGAGAGACAGAAGAGGAGACACAGGCAAATAGAGAAGGAGACAGCGTAGCTGCCGAGGAAGAGACTGGAGTGATTTCCTGCCAGCCACCTCGAGATAGAATAAGCAGAAATTCCCCTCAGAGTCTCCAGAGGGAAGACCACACTGTCAACTCCTTAAGTTTGGACTTCTGAGCTCTAGAACTGTAAAAAGAATAAATTTCTGTTGTCTTAAAGCCACCAAGTTTGTGCTAATTTGTTACAACAGTCATAGGAAACTAATACAATAAGAAACTTTATAATGAATGAATCAGACTGGTATTGCCTGAATTTACTAATCCAACTTAGCATCACTATTTGAGTATAGCAATGAGACACTCTGTGCATCCTGATATGATGAAAGAGGAAGAATATTGTATCACTTATGAAATATTCCTGAGGAAAAAAAGTGGCTTTTCAGCTCCGGGCCCATACACAGCAGTTGTTGCAATGTTGATGCTCAAGAAGAACTGTATTGCCATTTATGAACTCCTTTTTAAGGAGGGAGTGATGGTGGCCAAGAAGGATGTGCACGTGCCTAAACACCCCGAGCTGGCAGACAAGAACATGCCTAATCTTCACATCCTGAAGGCTGTGCAGTCTCTCAAATCACAAGGCTGCGTGAAGGAACAGTTTGCCTGGAGACATTTCTACTGGTACCTTACCAACGGGGGCATCTAGTATCTCCGCGATTACCTCTACCTGCCCCCTGAGATCGTGCCTGCCACTTGGTGCTGCAGCCAGCCTGAGACTGGCAGGTCAAGGCCCAAAGGTCTGGAGGGTGAGCGACCTGCAAGGCTTCCAGGAGGGAAAGCTGACAGAGACACTTACAGTTGGGGCACTGTGCCCCCTGGTGCTGACGAGAAAGCTGAGGCCAAGGCTGGGTCAGCAACTGAATTCCAGTTTAGAGGCGGGTTGGGTCATGGATATGGTCAACCACCTCAGTAAAGCTGGAGGGGTTATTTTGTGTTGAATGAACTTGTGGTCAGAAAATAGAAAAAAGGTGAATTCAAATTAAATCAAGCTTCTAAATATAATTACAGGAGACAGAGGAACATGTTAAATGACACTATAAGGATATACTAAGCTAAAGCCAGAGTGTGGGAGACTTGACAGGAAAATGATCCAGTTTCTTAAACAAACAAACAAAATGGCATAGGCAAAATGGAATAATAAAAATTACAGCTTCAAAGATACTTTAAAAAATTTAACCAAAAATTTAATCAAGTACAATATGTAGATCTTAGTTGGATCCTGGTTTGAGCAAATCAACTATAAAATGATATGTTTTAGGTATTCAGGGAAAATTTACCATTAACTAAATAATAGATAACACAGTTTAACTTTGTTGGGAGACTATGATTGATAATGGAATTATGGTTATTTTAAAAACTCTCTGCATGTTAGAAATACATACTGAGTATTACAGGTACAATGATAGACTGTTTGGGATTTGCTTTAAAATACTCCAGCCAAAACAAACATGAGCATAGGGATAGATGAAATAAGAAGGGCAGAAATTCAAAATGGTCAAGCTAAACGATGAAGTGGTTCGTGACACAATTCTGTTTTTCTGTGTGTCTGAAATTGACCAGGGATCGAATGCACAACCTAGGCGTGTACCCTGACCGGGAATCAAACCCCCAGTCTTTTGGTGTATGGGGCAATGCTCCAACCAACTGAGCCATACTGGCAAGGGATGGTCACGTGTTTTTATGGGTAAAGAGACAAAGCTTTGCAGCAAGCAAATGGGAAGCTCCTCCCATGACAATTTCTCATTAGTCTCTGGACAAAGTCTGAAGGCATCAAACTGAAGAAAACCCATGTCTGCCTGCAGGCTAAACTGCTGGGCCAAGGATTTTAGCTTTCTAGGCTCTTGATTCCATAATAGGCCAGAACTTAGAAAATCCAGAAGAGCTATGGCAACCAATCCTACAAGCTATCTAATAAAAACCTGAATAATAATAATTATTGTTATAACAATCACTGATTATTATAGGTACCACTTACTGCATGCCTCTTATGTAGCAGGCATGTACTACCCAGTACATGCATTGTCTCAATACTGCTCATCACAAACTTGGAGGCAGATATTATCCAATGCCCAATTCCATAAAACCAAAGCTTAGGAACTGGCACAGATAGTTCATTTGCTATCTGAGGGTTATTGAAGATGCTATTCATTTGATCATTCTCTGTCTCTTACATTGTACAGTCCTATGAGATGAATTCTCTTTAACAGTAATAGTGAGAACACTCTTGGAAAACAATTTTACATGCATCAAGCCTTATTAGAAGGGTCATATCCTTTGCTCCAGTCATTACTAGTCTCTAGACCAGGCTTTTGTGCCGCGGTTAGACTGCTTGAACAGTAAAAAATAATATATATGAAAAACGAATTGACATTCGAGTTCGTATGTTGAGTTACTGGTATGTTTCCTTTCGCCAGATGTTAAGACCGCTCCTGATCCAGTTGCCTCTTTTCTTTGGTGGCCATGGTGATGGTGAACGCTGATCCAAATGTGCAATCACCCCCAGTATCAACCCTGCCGAACCATGCTGGTGTGTTTGCTGCCTCCTCCTTCCATAGGGTGAATTTCCCGTTAATTGTAACAACGGTATAACTTTCCTTTCTTTAATAGTACTCTGCAAACCATTCTAGGAGACTGGCAGGATACAAACACATTTTGAAATATTTTTAGGTCCCTCTTTTATTTGTTCTGTGGTGCCCAGGGGGTAGGCCTAGGTTTTGCAGCTCTTCTGGTAGATTTGAATCTGAGGTGCATTTGTGGCGCCCTCTAGTGGTGCCTGGCTCAACACCCTGTGATCTCCCCGTTTTATACCCGGCCAAGAGCTCATTGTGTCTCCAACTCTCCTTAGGCCTTTTGGTGCCATCTCCTCGCCATCCCCTCTCCTGCAGGCTCACCCCTAAGCGGCAGTAGCCCCTCCGGGCACAGTCAGCACTCTGGGCCCGAATTAATTCCCCTTATCCCGGAAGCCTCGCCGCGCTTAAAGCTTCGCCCAACACAAAAACTTCCAGTTATTTTATTGCTGTATACAGAGGTCAGTTAATGTGCCCTGGGCATCCCTCCCGCCCTCTAGCAGTCGCTGAGTCGTCTGCCGGGGGCACGCAAAACGCCACGGGGCCTTGATCCGCAGGTCCGAGGGTCGTAGCTGCACCACACCACCGAGGACTCCACTACCTCCGCTCCCGACAGCCGACCAGCCCGGATCTACCGCCTGTAGCCCTCCGCCAGGAAGGCGGGTTAGGAGGGGCTGCTCCTCATCTGGCGGGAGAGGAGGCTCTCGGGAGAGGCGGCAAGAGAACCCCTGCCACGACTCCCAGGCTTTGTCGCGCGCGCCGGAGGCTGTGCTGTGGGCCCTACTCGGAGTAGCAGTACGTCCCGTAGTTGGCTTGCTGGGGCTGGGGGAAGCCGAAGCTACGCACTCCAGGATCAGGCAGGCCCCCGCAGCGCGGCCGCGGCACGGTGATGGGGAAGCGCACGCTGCCATCCGCCAGCCATCCTCCATCGCATTGGTCCAGACCCGAGAACTTCCAGGCGGCATAGAGGTGCCCGACCTTGGCCACCATGGCCCCGCGCCGCCGGCACGCCGCGTGGGCTTCAGACAGCGTCAGCCTCCCGGGCACGAAGAACACTTGGCCTGGGGATCGGAGAGGGTCACTGGCCGAGAGCAGGATGGGGACGGGGAGGGGTGCAGGGGGGATTCCGGCTCCCGGGGAACAGAGAGGACAGTTAGGCTGCGGAGGAACCGGGCCAGGCTGGGTGGCAGCGCGGGTAGGGTTGCGGGAGGCAGGCTGGAGTGGGTGGGCGGAGTGGCGCGCGCGCGCCAGGCCTTGAAAATGTGTGCAAGCCTACGGAGATCTCTAGCCTCCAGCGTCCAACTCCCCACCCGCCGGCCGCGGTTCTCCAGACCCCGCCGCCGCTCACAGTCTTTTCCCAACAGCGTCCTCCGCGGCCCCTCAGGCCCGCCCCCGCGCCGCAGCGCGCGCCCAGCCCCTCACCTGCCAGCGCGGAGGTGAAACAGAAGGCGTCGTAGCGGTCGCGCTTCCGGTCGCGCGGCCCGTAGCTGCGGATCCCCGGCCGACCGTGGCCGCCGCACGGGGCGCGCGCTGTCAGCACAGGGTAACGCACGGAGCCCTCGAGCAGCCAGCCCGCGTTACACCAGTCTAGCCCCTCGGTCCACGCTGGCGGGAGATGGGGGGATTAGAGGCGTCACGGGCAGGAGCCAGACCCGGAGGTCGCCTCCGCTGAGATCCCTGGTGACAGCCTGGAGGGGCTTAGGCGGTGCCCGGGGGCAGCTCACCCTGGTACAGCTGGGCGTAGGTAGCCAGGCGTCCGTCTTGCTCCTCGCACGCCTGCTTCGCCTCGTAATAATTGAACTGGTACCGGCCTCGACGGGGCTGGTACGGAAACACCACACCTGGGGAGGGGGCAGACGCGAGAGGGGAAAAGAAAAGACGGCGCAGCCTAGCAGAGAGGGCTGGGCGGCGGGGGAGGAGTGGACCGCAGGAACAACCGGGGAGATGCTGAGGAAGGACCCTTGGGAGACCCGAACAACCCCACCACCACCACCACAAGAGAGGAGGGGGCTGGAACCGAAGGGCCTCACCTTCTAAGCGCAGGGTCAACGTCACGCTCTCGTCCTCGATGCCGTTGATGAGCTCACAGCGATACCGGCCCTCGTCCTCCAGGCGCACGCCCGCGATGACCAGGGAGGCGTCTAGCTGATGACCCCTCCTCATCCTGGCTCGACCCCCCAGGGCCCCGTAGCCCCGCGCGTGCAGTCCGTTGGTGATAAGGATCAGCGTTTCCCGGAGCTCCCCTGGTTCCACTTTGCTCCAGCGTACCTTGTAGCTGGGAGGCGGGGTGCCCAGGATGCAGGGCAGCGTGGTTGTGGCGCCACGACGAGAGTGAATGACCTCGTGGATGGGGGCCAGGAGGTAGTGGGGGCCCCCGTGGGATGCTGAGCAGAGGGGGCCACAGTGGCAGGACCCCCCGGACCCCTACTGCCCCAAGTGTCCATCTAGACTCTGTTCCCCAGGCTGCCCCATCCTCTACTCCATTGCGCACTCAGCAATGACTCTCACTCCCTGGGTCCCTCCAACAGCTGCCTTGCACCTTTCCCACACCTGGAGACTTTCCCCCACTGTTCCTCAGATTCTGCACTGGACTGAGGTCTTACCTGGGTCCCCCAGGGCTTTGTGGAAGATGGTGAAGGCCCAAGGGAGAAGGAAGTGACAGAGTGTGGGGAGATTGAGCCAGCCTTGCATGATGGGGAGTCCGCCGGGCTGGATCTAAGGGCAAAAAGGGTGGGCCATTCTTTAGGACTGAGGGAATGGGGACAGGGCAGGGAAAGCAGAGCTGGAGAGGAACTTCCATCAGGGATTCCTGAGAGGACTGTCCAGCTGGAAGCCAGTGGGGCTGAAAAGGGGGCTTATGTTGGTGGCAAAAGGAAGGTGAGAGGGGCAAGGAGGGTCAGTAACAACCACACCCTGGCAGCAGCCCATCCCTCTTTCTCTCCCCCATCCCTTCAGTCAGCAAGTTCTCTACCTATCACCTTCTCAAGTGCCAGTTCCCAAGTCTTGCCATCTGGATTGCCAACTCCAGTCTCTATCCTCTCCCAACACCCACTGCCATCTGAAGCCAGAGTAAATACGATCTGGTCACTCTCCTTCAAACAGTGGCTCCCTGTTGCCCTGAGAATGAAGCCGAGTCACCTAACCACAGCCTGGAGACCTCTGTGATCCAGTCTCTCTGCACCACCCATGCCCTCTTCACTCCACACATGTTGGCCTTCTGGCTCCAGAACAGTCCAAGTTCACTCTCACCTCCTCGCAGGCATCAGTTTGGGCCTCACCTCCTCTGGGAAGCTTTCCTCTTCCCCCCAGTTTACCCCACTGCAGTGCACTATGATCCACTTGTCTGGTTCCCCTGCCCACTGGACTGGGGACTTTTTTTTTCTTAGAAATACTTTTATTAGCAGCTAAACCAACAATGTGAATTTGAAAGTAATACATAAGCATATGTAGTTAAGGTTTCCAGTCATTATAAAGTATAACAATATAGTTATAAAAAAAGGTTTCAGTCCTGGGTAGTGTGGCTTAGTGGATTGAGTGCCTGCCTCCAAACCAAAAGATCACCGGTTCTATTCCCAGTCAGGGCACCTGCCTGGGTTGTGGGCCAGGTCCCCACTAGGGGGCATGTGAGAGGCAACCACACATTGATGTTTCTCTCCCTCTTTTTTACCCCCTTTCTCTAAAAATAACTAAAAAGATTTCAAACACAATTTCTATTTCAGTAGCTATTTTCCCCCTTCTTTATTATATCTATTCTTCATTACTTTGGCCATTTTTTAAAATTGAAGATCCCTTAACCTAGTTTTATTGACTTTAAAAATCTCCTCCCCTTTCTAACTGCATGACTTTGAACAAGCTATGTAACCTTTCTCTGCTTCGATGTCCTCATCAGTAAAATATGGACAGTAATACACACTTCCCTTACTGAGTAGTTGTGAGGATTTGATTAAAATAATATATGTAAACGGCTTAAAATAGTGCCTGATGTGCAGTAAGTGTTATGTATATGTGAGCTCATTTGTGCAGCTCCCAGCATAGTTTCTGGCAGACAGTAGGCACTAAATTAATGTGTGTGTATGTGTGAATGAGCTCATGTTGAGGACTTCTGGGAAGGAGAGCTGGGACACGGGGAGAGGGGAAAAACACCGAGGAGGGGTCAGAAAGTTGAGGAGCTGAGCTCCGCTTTCCTGCAAATGAAGGCTAAAGACAACTTTGTGGAATGAGAAATGGAGGTTAGGCACACAAAGGACTTCCCAATGGCTAAAAGGAAAGTACCTGGGACAGGGACATGAGGGAGGGAGAACCTGGTCATCAGAGCGACAGTGGGAACCGAGATGTACTAAGGGACCACTAGTAATAGCTAGCATTAGCCAGTTCAATGTGCCTGAAACGGCTCTAAGCACTTCACATGCATACTTTCATATTTACTCCTGTCAGCAAGTCTACAGACAATTATGGAACAATTGTAGGAACAATTACGAATCCCATTTTCTACGCTCAAACAAAGGTTCATGCATTTTAGTAAACTTGAAGGCGGTCAAACAGCTTGTAAGAGGAGGAGTTCTCTGGGATTTGAATCCAGATCTGACTGAGGCTTAAGCTCCTAATCACTGATCTGTATTTTTGTATTTTAGAGCAAGTGCACGCACAGCTTCTTCTTCTACCCCTACAGAGGATGAGAGAGGCCAATACCTCCAGTGCCTACCTGTTAGAAGATGGTCTCTTCGCAGAGATGGAGGGAGCAGTGACTGGCAGCTTTTTGTCCTGCAGGAGGAAGAGGTTCCTGGTAAAGGAGTTGCCTGGGCCACTGGGAGGTCCAGACCCCTTACAGCCCTGGACTTAGGCACCTAGTCAGTGCAACCACTCCTTGTACATCTTGAAGGAAAGGCTTCTGTTGTGAGCTCACAGAAGAAGCCAGGGTGCCAAGAACTCCACTACCCATTATTCCACTAAAGCTGGGCTAAGCGACCCATATCCAGTCTTGTGACCAGACACTCTATCTGCACTGCTCACTGCCCTGGGCCCAGGGGAAGATGCTGGGCTTGGGATATGGGCTGGGGACCCACTAAGGGGTATGGAATAAAGGAAGCAACCAAGGATGATCACCTGGAAGAGTGCAGACAGCGAAGTGCCTCATTTCATCTCTGACCAGAGAAGAGTTGATTGATTGATAGATATGAGGATGTTGGACCAATGGGCATAGAGATGAGCCTCAAAGATCCATAGCTGTAAAGCTCCAGATGCCTCCATTTTTCTATATGGGCCTCATCTGTAGGCTGAGCTGCTGGGCCAACGATCTTGCTTTTAGGGCTCTGACTCCTTAACAGGCCAGAACTTAGAAAACCCAGAAGAGCAGTGTGGGAACGGAGCACCCCTCCCCTCCTTCTTTCCCAACAAAGTCCTCACCTCTGTCCTCCGGTGCCTGGGTGCACATTGCCTCCGGGAAGAGGCTGTCAAGGTGGGAACCACACTCTGAGGTCCTCTAGCTGCTTCAAGAAACCTGACCCCTTCTGTCCAGCCCCCCATCTGTCCATCTGTCTGCCCTTTCCGTCTCTGTCCCCACCCCATCAGAAGCACAATTTCCCATTGTCCTAATCTTTCCCCCATTGTTGAACAACAGGGCCCCTTTCTTTATCCCGTGGGTAATGGCAACAAAATGTCAACAGCTGGGAATGTGGGGTACAGGACTGGCTGGCACACATCACCGGAAAAGGGGCCTGGGTGGGGGTGGGTTTAGAACAGGAACTGACATCCCCAGCGAGAACAGAACGGGATGAGGGGGAGAGAATGGCTCTCAAGAAGGCTGAAATGGGGTCCCCCTCAAAACTGTGAGCTTCACAGCTTTAAAGAGGTTCTGTGTGAGGCTGGTTCCATAGAGGGCACAGCGAGTGGTTAGAATGGCAACAGGAGAGATAGAAATTAGGCAGCAAGGAGGATTGTCCCTAGGAGGGAATATGGAATTTCTGAGGATGGAAGGATTATGGGAAGCTGTCCGAGAGAGGTTATGTTATTTTTTCCTAGTTCTCCACCTTCTCCTTCAGCACAGGTGGATAATAAAAGTTCAAGAGAAGAGAGATTCTTAACTTCCTGGGTAGAAATTCACTTCTCTTAAGTCCCTCTTGTCAGGAAGTTCTTTCTGAAATCTAAACTCCTTTTGGAGTTCAAGTTCATTTTAAAAAGCTTTCTATTGAGGTATAAATTACAGGCAATAAAATAAACAGATCAATAAATTTTGACATGTGCACATACTATATAACCTCTCCCTTCAAGATGTAGAACCGTTCTACCCTGGGTGGTGTGGCTCAGTGGATTGAGTGCCAGACTGCGAACCAAAGGGTCACTGGTTCCATTCCCAGTCAAGGCACAAGCCTGGGTTGTAGGCCATGTCCCCAGTAGGGGGCGTGTGAGAGGCAACCACACATTGATGTTTCTCTCCCTCTCTCCGTCCCTTCTCCTCTCTCTAAAAATAAATTAAAAAATATTTTAATGTATTTTATTGATTATGCTATTACAGTTGTCCCATTTGCCCCCTTCTCTCCCCTCCACCCTGTACCCCCTCTCCCACCCACATCCCCCCCTTTACTCATGTCCATGTGTCATACTTATAAGTTCTTTAGCTTCTACATTTCCCATACTATTCTTGCCCTCCCCCTATCTATTTTCAACTTACATTCTATGCTACTTATTCTCCATACCTTTTCCCCCCTCTCCTCCTCCCACCCCCCTGCTACTAGCCCTCCATGTGCCCTCCATTTCTGTGGTTCTGTTCCTGTTCTAGTTGTTTACTTAGTTTCTTTTGGTTTTGCTTTAGGTGTGGTTGTTAATAATTGTGAGTTTGCTGTCCTTTTACTATACATGTCTTTTCTTTATCTTCTTTTCTTAGATAAGTCCCTTTAGCATTTCATAAAATAAGGGCTTGGTGATGATGAACTCCTTTAACTTGACCTTATCTGAAAAGTACTTTATCGTCCCTTCCATTCTAAGTGAGAGCTTTGCTGGGTAGAGCAATCTGGGATGTAGGTCCTTGTCTTTCATGACTTGGAATATTTCTTTCCAGCCCCTTCTTGCCTGTAAGGTCTCTTTGGAGAAATCAGCTGACAGTCTGATGGGAACTCCTTTGTAGGTTACTGTCCCCCTTATCTCTTGCTGCTTCTAGGATTCTCTCCTTCGTTTTTACCTTGGCTAATGTAATGATGATGTGCCTTGGTGTGTTTCTTCTTGAGTCCAACTTCTTTGGGGCTCTCTGAGCTTCTTGGATTTCTTGGAAGACTGTTCCCTTTGCCAGATTGGGGAAGTTCTCCTTTATTATTTGTTCAAATACGTGCTCAATTTGTTGCTTTTCCCCTTCCCCTTCTGGTACCCCTATAATTCGGATGTTGGCACGTTTAAAGGTGTCCTGGATTCTCTTAAGCTTTTCCTTGATTTTTTGAATTCTTATTTCATCATGGTTTCCTGCTTGGTTGATTCTATCTTCCTTCTGGTCTACTGTATTGTTTTGAGACTCAGATTCCTTCCTTTCACTATTGGCTTTCCTCCGCGTATCTTCCTGCATCTCTTTTATGGTAACCTGCATCCTTTCATCTAAATTGCGCCCAAAATCAACATATTCCGTGAGCTTTCTGATCACCAGTGTTTTGAACTGTGCATCTGATAGATTGGCTATTCCTTGGTCGCTCAAAAGGATGAGTCCTGGGGGACTGATCTGTTCTGTTCGAAACATGTCTTATGTCTTTCCCTGTCTCTCCTTTTTTTTTTTTTTTCGGTCTGGTCGCTCTTGTTACGGTGGGGGGCGGAGCCTTAGGTGTTCACCGGGGCTGGGCACCCCAGTCGCTAGATTGTGACGTTATACGTGGGGGCGGGGGTGGGAGCAGGGACGGGAGGGAACAATGGCGGTAGTTCCGTTCTCCTGGGCCCAGACCCCTCTCCGGGATCCTGGGCTGCGAGCTCTGCCCTGGTCCACAATCGCTGCCTCACTGGGTCCGCCAGCCGCAGCTTGTGTCTGCGCTGCGTTCTTGCACCCTGGATGGCTGTCGCGCCGATTTCACGCCAAATTTTCCCCGACCTCCGTGCACCGCCGACCCGCGCCAGCCCCGTGCCCGCCCAGCTCGTCGTCTCCTACCAGTCTGGATGTACGGGTCTACTTCAACTTGGCTGTCCGACTTTCATTCAGATAAATCCTCTATCAGTTCTGAGTGTTATTCTATCTGTAAATTATTGTTGTTCTAATCTTGATTGTGCGAGGAGGTACGGTGCATCCACCTATTCCTCCATCTTGCTGGAAGTCCAAATAAATAAAATATTTTTTTAAAAAGAAAATACATGACATTAAAAAAAAACATATAGAACCTTTCCAACTCCCAGAATAAGCAAGCACATTTCTTTTTTGTTTGCTATCAATGCAGGGAGAGGTCTCCCTCCATAAATATTCATTTAGAAACATTCTGAGTTTTATATTGCCTCTTAGCCTTCCTTTATCTCCCCTGAGCAACCACACACCAGTAGTTTTGTGTTTTCGGAATCATACACTTCCAGGACCGGAGGGGACTTCAGGATGTTTAGCCTCGTCTGTTACCAGATGAAGAAGAGATGCAAGAGAAAGGGACTTGCCCAAGACCAGGCAGAAGGCAGCTGTTGCATCAAACCTAGAACTTGCTGCCTTTTTTGGTGATTCATCTCCCACTTTTCTGCCCCACTCTCAAGTTGGACAAGCTACAGGGTTTTCACTGGTACCAGACCTAGTAACGGGAGCTCACGCCATTGTACTCTTTAGGAACTTGACTGACTGTCTTCTCTCTGCCTGCTCCATTCCCTGTTTCTAAGCCCTTCCCTCCTTCCAGAGAAAAGGACAAACAGAAAAGACAAATAACCCCCTGTCTCCTGGGCCAGGACACCCTGATCCAGTGCATCTGATTGGCTTCCACCCAACTTCAGACAAACAGCCTCTCGTGGAGAGAGGAGAATATAAAGGCTCCGCAGCCAGTCAGTGCTGCCGCTGGTCACTGCCACCGAGCCCCAGCACGTGCCTCACCCACCGCTCCTTTCTTCCCAGGTCACTTCTGAACTGTGGTGTGGAAGTCTCTGGTGTGTAAATCCAAAAATGGTTGAGTTTGGCATGGAGGAAAATCTAGAACTATTCAATAGATGAAAAAAAAAACCCCAAAAAACCAGAAACAAAAGCCTTTGAGAATAGAATGAGAAAGGCACAGACCAGGAACAGACACAATGAATAGACAAGCTGACTGTAGTTTGCTCAAGGTCACTCTCATTCTCAGTTTTCCCCAAGACACTGCAAAATAGGAATCGAATAAGACTGCTCAGACTTGAGTTGGCACCTTTTCACCGGAATGGCATCTTTTAAAGAGAGACTTTTGCCATTCCTGCTACCTTCCAACCAGGGTGAGGTGGAATCATCTTGAACAGGCATGGAATCCTGATACCTCTTTCCCTAATATCTCGGGCTCAACTTATGCCCTCCAGGTACGTTTGACTGACTAATTTTCTTGACCCCCAGTGATGGTAGGATCCAAGTTTACTCCTGGGATTGTCACATAATAGACTGGAAGAGTTGGCAAAGTGGTGCTTCAGGGGAAGAGCAGAGAGGGACTGGGTGTGACTTTATGCATCGTTGCTTCCACCGCCCCCCTGCGTCCTTGTAGCAGAGTTCTCTGGGGGTGCTGCAGGGCAGCTTCATGCTCCTGCTGCTGGCTCTTGCCTTTCTCCTCCTCCCTGGGATCCCCCCAGTGCTCTCTTCCTTCAGGCCCAGGCTCAGGCATCTGTGGAGCTGGGTCCTGGCTGCACTTCAGGACAATGTAGGGGGTGGACCCGGGGAATCAACCTTCAGGAAAGACATGCTTTAACTCGGGAGGCCTCCCTGCACCCTAAACAGCCTTTGTCCTGTGGATAGATCCAAGGGTGGACAAAGAAGTGGGAGGTGAGGTCCGTGTCCTTTGGGAGCCTGCCAACCTGAGGCAAGGGCCCTGAGGTCACACAGGCTATGGGAGGATCACTGGACCATGAATCACGATCAGGCATCCTGTTCCAGCCAGATGCTAACCTCATATGAGACTCAGTACCAAACTCCTGAGAGCTTCAGGCTCTCTAATAATCAAACAGGTACCACATCTGCCCAACAGGACTGGGTGGTGTGAAGGTGATGGAATGCATTCTACCAGGTGAAAAGCACACACAGAATTATGTTCATTGTTCTATGGCTTGATATGCAGTGGTTGGTTCAAACCAAAACAAGGCTAGAGTGGGAGAGGATAAGGTGGGAAAGAGATGAGACCCATTGGACCCACTCATCCTTGTACTAGCCACACCCTCTAAGAACAGGGGGCCCTTCTATACAGTGAGGCTAACCAATGGAGTGTCCCTGAAAGTCTGGGGCAACAGTAGAGGAGAAGAGGGGATAAGGAAGTAAGGGCGAAGGAAGGAGGGGAGAAAGGAGAGGGAAAAAGTGGCAGAGGGCCAGAGACCTCTCCCTCTCCCTCTCTGTATTTCCATCTCTGGGAAAAGTGTGCGG